TTTGGATAAACGGTTGGAAAGTTATAGGCAAAACACTGGACAGAGGTCGAAACTGAAAAACAGAGAAAACGAATCTGCCCAAAAACGACCGGTCGCTTTTACCTGACGACCGGTCGCTTTTCACGTCAAATTTTGAGTTTCGACTCTGTACTAAAACGACCGGTCGCTTTTACCTCACGACCGGTCGCCAGACAAAAACGACCGGTCGCTCTTAACTAAACGACCGGTCGCTTTTCACTGTTCACAGCACATTTCCTTTTTTTTTGTTTGTTTGTTTCTTTTACGTTTCTTTTACATTTCTTTTAGTTTCAAATTTGCGTTTGTGCATTGTGGTGTGTTAGTTAAGTGTTCTCTTTGTACTCGAATTAGAACTTATAGGCAACCGACAAGTTCTTCGTGGGATCGACCCCGTACTTACAAAATCTATACTTCGATAGATTCGTGCACTTGCGGGTATTTTTAATTGGTTGTTTGCACATTAAATTGTGTCCTTTTAGGAATGCAACACTGCTTAGGTCTAAAAATTCAAGACTGATGAGATATGCAATTGACGCAGGCAATTCTTTGATGCCACTACCACGTAGAAACACGTGACGTAAGGAATCCATCTTTCCCCCAATTTCAGGGAAAGTCTCTAGTCTTCTGCAATCTTCAAGATTGAGAACTTCTAGAGATTTTGACTTGATTATTGGAAATAGTGTGAGGTTATGGCAACTCTCAAACCTCAAGTCCACAAGCTTATCATGAAATCCAACAGAAGGATGAACCTCAACTAAACTTGTGCAGAAGTCTAGATTCAAGGACTGTAAGTTTGGAATTCCAGAGATATTTGGGGTTTTTGTTAGGAACTTACAGCTCTCAAAATTCATGGACGTCAAATTTTGCAAACGCTATATAACACAAAAACAGAAAAGAAAAAGAAGGATCAAACGATAAGGCATAAACAAGCATAACTCCAAAAATTTAATAAACTTTTGAAAATACGAAAGGATGAAAATAATTTAAATTACCTTGAATCCCTCCCCAAGTTGTGACAAGCGGCTACGAGGCATATGAAGTTCAACAAGTTTCCTTGGATTGAAAGTAGATGGTAAAGTTTCAAAAGGACAACCAGGCCAATGAAGAAACCTCAACTCATTAGATAGATAATCCATGTGATCGCCATAAAATCGTGCATTCACATTGATGAAAAGTCGAAGGTTTTTCATCTTTGAGAAGCTGTCATCACTCAAGCATATGTCATCTGGTGTCGGAAACTTTGCTATGATGCCTTTAATATTGTTTGTTCCCTATTATTAAAATAAAATAAAAAAGTAGTGTTAACATACAAAGCTCTATAGCAAATAAAAATGCAAGTGTACACACACACACAGACTTACTGTTCCTTCTATTAGAACACGATAAACATCCTCGTGAAACCACAATCTGCTACGTTCACCAGGCTCATTTGGCGACTCTTGATAAACTATTCCTCTACCCAATTCTTCAAGCAAGTCATGCATCCCAATTGTGCCTTGTTCAATATTTATGAGGGCCTTGTCTACGAGTACTTTAATAGCATACTTAGGCTTGAGGTCACAACCTTCCAGGGTCGGTATCACATCGTACACCTTTCTACCTTTAAAGAAACATGCTATGTCAAGGAAAACTTCTTGAACCGAATATTCCAATGCATCATAGCTTATTTTGAGAGTTTTTTTAATGTCCGAGTGCAGATTCCCATCCAATGCATCATGCCACTCATCTATACTTCTACCACATAGATGAGAACCTAAAACCTTGAGAGCTAAAGGAAGACCTTGAGCATGCTTCACCACAGTTTCTGCAGCTTTCACATAATCATCATCCAAATTTTTACTTCTCCCACCATTCCAACTAATGAAAAGATCAAGAGATTCACCAAAGTTTAATTTATTGGCCTTGTATATTATACTAACTTGATGAGAAGTTAGCAAATGCTTATCTCTAGTCGTTATGATAATTCTACTGCCCAAACCAAACCAATCACAACCTCCAACTAAGTTGTTTAACTGGTCCAAATGATCCACATCATCTACAATTACGAGGACCTTTTTACGACTCAACCTTTCCTTTATCACATTGATTCCTTTATCGGCACTGGTAACCTTTATTTCCTTTCCCCTTAGAATCTCATAAAGAAGAAGATTTTGTAGGTCGGCTAGGCCTCCGTATGGTATTGATCTTTCTCTTACATTTTCCAGAAAACAACTCCCTTCAAACACATGGGCCAGTGAGTTATAAACGGCTTTAGCAACAGTTGTCTTTCCTATTCCACCACTCCCCCATATTCCTACCATGCGAACATCATTTCCGTCAACATCTAAAGCTTTATGAATATCTCGTACACGTGCCTCTATTCCAACTTGGTATTTTGCCACATTGATATGGGTATCATTTAATACTTGTAAGGAAATCTCGTTGACAATGTTCTGAATAAATTCAGTTTCACGGCTGCCAATTTAAGGAAAAAATAACATCTAAGAATGAGATTTTGCTATATATGTTTTAAATAAGGTAAAGAATGTATATATGACACAAGAAAAGAAATAGAATTTTGCTGGGTTCAAAAACAGATCACTTGAAGTTCGAAACAACCTGGCATTAGTACAATAGGAAGATTGATAATTTGATATGCTCTAGACACTTCTTCTTAATAAACTCTAGGTTTATTGATTAAAAGTTGGATTCAATCCATAATTGTCATACATTTATGAAGAAAAATAAGTAATGAGGGTTTCTTAATAAAATGAAATAAAGGAGAAATTAAGAGAAGCTCAAAAAGCCCTCAAATATAAAGAAATATACCTTTCTAAGTAATGCGACCCAGACAAATTTGCAGCTTCTGTAAGGGTTTCCTTCCATCTCAGCACCTTCTTCATATTGTCCTCGAATTTACTTTCATCATGGTTAGTAAGTTTCTCTTCTTTGAATTTGCGTTCATGGTTATTAAGTGCCTCACCATAACTACCTCTTTGGTTCCTTACATCTGAGGGATCCACTTTGTAGAAAACTGGCCAAACCATCTGTTGCTTTGATTTTCCACACTGAATGATATGAACAAGTTCATCTAAGCACCACTTCGAGGATGCATAGTTTTCAGAGAATACGACGATGGAACACCTTGATCCTTCAATTGCATCAAGAAGTGCTTGTGATATTTCTTCTCCTCTTGGGAGCTCATCATCTATGAAGGTTCTGATGCCTTTCTGGACCAAATTTTTGTGTAGATGATCTGTGAAGTTGTAGCGCGTGTCCTCACCTCTAAAGCTGAGAAAGACATCGTGTGTCCATGAATTGGTGGAAGACGAGGAAGAAGGAGGGGAAGGAGCTCCTAATAATTGAGTGGTGTTTGAATCCATTTTGTTGAAAGTTTAAAACTAAACAGGCTGAAAGGTTTGGAAATGGTACTGATATATAGTCAGAATTTGATCTCTTGTTTGGCATCGTATATGCGAAGCAGTTTCCTGGTACCTGGGGTGCAACTTCACAGGCGTTGACATCAATTGAATATGGTGTTTACCTAAAATAAAATAAGACAAGGGCCTAGACGTGAACCACCGTCCCGGAACTGATCCAAAATCTTCAAAAAACCAAGAAAAGTGGAAGATATGTATAACTTTTTGTTTGGACCAAAATTGATATGGGCCAACTTTTTAGTTATTTGGGCCAAAATTGATGTGTACAAATTTTTTCTAAAGGTCAACCTTCCAAGTTTTTGTTTACAAAAAAATTTCATTCATGGCATGTCTACTAATTTGTAATCGGATTGAATTGAGGATGAATTTGATTATTTTAGTTGAGGTTTAGATGTAGTCTCATTATAGAAGCTCCCGGAAGATATGTATAACTTTTTGTTTGGGCCAAAATTGATATGGGCCAACTTTTTAGTTATTTGGGCCAAAATTGATGTGTACAAATTTTTTCTAAAGGTCAACCTTCCAAGTTTTTGTTTACAAAAAAATTTCATTCATGGCATGTCTACTAATTTGTAATCGGATTGAATTGAGGATGAATTTGATTATTTTAGTTGAGGTTTAGATGTAGAGAAGCTTAACCCAAGTCCATATACACCTTGAAATGTATATAAATAATTTTAAAAAGGCATATTTTTTTATATACCCCTAAAAGTGTATTTGAATCTCACTTCGCCCCTGAAACTCATTTTGTCTCACTTTACTCCCTTTATCACACATATTTGTCTCACTTTGCCTGGATTCCGGTGAGCCCAACAATTTCCGGTCAAAAGAAAATATTATAAATAAAAAAACAACTTTATGTATTTTGTTTTTGTTTGTTTGTTTGTTAAAAATAGTTTATGGTGTAATGCTTTGCCCTGTTAAGGGTTTTGAATAATAATTAAACTTTTGGTTTATATATAATTTCTTTAAACCCAAATGTAAGAACCATTCATCCGTTAATAGCTTGCAAAAATATAATTAAAATGGGAAAACCAAAAACAAATACACTAGTCATAAATTTATGCATCTACTAAAACTTAATCACAAGAGACAAACTAACGGATCCGTAATGATTTTGAATCCAAACAACCTTAGTTATATATAATTACTCATTTTTTACGGCCAGAGAAGTGACGAAAGGTCCTTCAACAAATTAACAGTACAATTATATATGCTCGGACGAAGGATTGGTGTTTGCTAATCATCATGGACAACTTATACATCATTGGTGTTAGGCAATTTTGACAAGAACAAGATAGGCTTGTGGTGAAGCCAAAAGTAAAAGGTAAAACAAAGGCCTTGTCATGTTGAAGGTCATAAGGAATCGAAACAAACTGATGCAGAGTCGTTGTAAGTTTAGAAGGACGTGATTTCAGAGTGGCCTCTCTGTCTCAGATCAGTATAGCAAAATTTACCCTGTCATAAATCTCATAATCTAACAGTTATAACTGTTACTTAAGCTCAGCTCATCAAAATGAAAAACAGAACTATAACTGAATTAAATTTTAATTTCATTTGTAACCTACTCGCCTGAGCATTAAACTCTTCAACTTGGCTCATACTCATTTCTCTTATTTATATACTCCTAGTAGTTGTCAACTAGATGTCCTAATACATTGAGAAATAATTGAGTTTCAACAGGATCAATCAAGTGTTGATCGAGTGTAAAGCCCTTTTATTGGAGGAAAGTTGTGTATTTTTAGAGTTGTGCTATGCTAATATATAGGCTTCTTGGTTCTTGAATCCGCACCCTTGGTGAAGGGATGGCTTGAAACTATTGTCAGTCCTTTCTTTGCGGGTGAAACTAGTGAACTTGAGTGCTTTAATCTTTGTGCTGATGGTGAGCTGCCCAAACATGGCTTTCTTAAATAAGTTGGTTCAGTAGACTCATGGTTCAAATCGGATTTAATGCGGTTGCTCAGCCTTTCTTTTGCCGCTGGACTTCTTCCTAGTTGTTGAAGTCAACTTGAGCTTTGATTTGGGTAATCGTGCCTTTACTCCGGTAAAAGCATTTTTGAATTGTAAAAGTCAAAGCTATTGGGCTTATTCGACTTGGGCTTCTATCTTTGAGCGACTCCCTATATGAATTCAAGTAGCACAAAGCCCATTTGGACTTAAAAAAAATCCCTTAACGGGTCTTTTTTCCATTTTAGGCCCAAACAATAATTTCCTAGCCCTTATGAAAAACCTATATCTAGCTATGAGGCCGACGTCTTTGTGTCTTCGTCATCAAATAGTCACTCTTCATTAACTTACTTGATTATTTTAGAACAATTCATGGAAATAATATTGTTTTGAATTAGAAAATTGAGTTATAAGTGTTAAGCTAACTATGCAAAAGTGACTTGGTCACAAAGGTGTGGTGTTGTCACCAAGCTAGTCACAGTCATATTCTTTGCTGGAACTGGTTTTCTTGACTTGGCTTCTAAGTTTTCGTGCGAAATCTTCTTGGATTGAACTTTGGTCCTTTTTCATGCAGCAACACCGTTACATCTAACAGCCACTAAAAACCAGCCAATACAACAACCGCGTTCTGGTCACACGTTTTTAACCAAGTCCAGCTTGCTACGTAATATTTCCTTCCATCCCAACCACAAAATCTGCACCGTCCAAACCCCTTAGAAATTTCTCAAAATCCCTCTCCCTTCTCTCCTTAAACCAAACTCTCCTCAGCCCTCCCCTATAAAAAGCCCTCCCCCTTCTCTCCTTAAACCCATCCTTCGCTTCTTAATCTTGATCTGCCTGCCTCTTAAACCCCATCACGTTCTCTGTCTACATTCGCTCTTCTACAATGGCTCAATCCAACGCCGTCATTTTGGTGATAATGGCTGCCCTCTTGGTGGCCTCAACAAGGGCACAATCCCCTGCATCTTCCCCAGCCAAGTCCCCTGCCTCTGCCCCCTCTCCTTTGAGCACTCCACCCGCCGCCGCTCCTTCTCCTTTGAGCACTCCACCAGCTGCTTCACCTTCTCCTTTGAGTACCTCACCTTCTCCTTCGGGCAATCCACCCTCGCCTGCTCCTTCTACATCTCCGGTCGCAGACTCTCCACCTTCTCCCCCATCGTCTTCTCCTGAATCTCCAGCCACCTCTCCCCCTTCTTCGGTCTCGGGATCCCCCACCGAAGCTCCTGCACCCAACGGTGCAGTTTTGAACAGGTTCTCCCTCGCCGGTTCCGTGGCCGTTGGGGTTTTCGCTGTCGCCATGCTTATGTAAAGAGGGAAAGTACAGCGGGAGTTTTTATGAATTTTAATCATTTGTTTTATTGTATTTAATTTACCATCTGATTAATTCATTCATTTTATAGTTGTTGATATATCTGGGAATAAAAAGAGACACATTTTTCTGTCATGAGAATTGCAATCTAATTTTTCTTTATTTTATATTAAAAATTATATAATTTTGTATTTGCAAAAATATTTTAATGCATGTGAAAGATCAATCTTCACCCTCAAGTTTTTTACAACAAAAAAAAAAGAAAAAAAAAAGAAAGAAAAGGAAATCGTCATGCTAAAGGGTCAACTTTAAACATATCTTAAACTTCCAACCTTTTTATATGATCTTAAACTTCCAACTTTAAACAGAGCTTCTTCAACCTTTTTCGCAAGACTGTTGAAGGAAACCTTGATTTTCTCTCTCCTATAGATATTGAGATGGCGACACAATTTCCAAATATTGAGATGGGCCGTTTTGTCTCTCCCAAATATTGATCGAAAGATATTGATGTACAAATGATGGGTTCGTTAAATGTTAGTATCCAACATAAAGTGATTATTAAGAAGTACCTGATGGAGGGATCCACCAGTATGGGAACAAGAACAAGGTTATTTAACAATAATGAATTGTTGTTTTTGGTCAATAACAGATCTTGTTTTGGTCAATGATGAATGATATTTTTTTATGGAGAGAAATGCGATAGTATTTTATTGAAGAGAAAATGAGTAACTAGTACAAAAATTAGGCTATGTCATCGGGGATTAGGCAAGTCTCTACACAAATGGGTTCGGTCGTCGGTTTAACCAAGTAGCCTTATCTGTAACAAGTACTGGTTACATCTTCAAATAATAGGTCAACAATGAAATCTGGTGGTTCTACAAACCAAATGATAACAGTGCCAATATTTTATTAATATGCGCCAACTTTTCAGTCATTAGATTAAATTTAAAGGGCATCATTAGTTAATAGATTTCATAACATAAAAAGATAATTTACTAGAATTAATAATTAAAGGGTATTTTAGGAATAATGGTGGCTGGAAAGATAGGATTATATTTTTTAAAATTTACATGGTGGGTGGGAAGATAAGGTGTGACAAGACCCGCCTCAAATTCCTCGGAATCCGGGACGAATCCTGTGGAGTGTCCGACATCATACCGATGCCGAGCCCATTTACTAACAAAAAGAACTTTCTGCCGAAATTTCGGCAGAGTCTCACCTCAAAAATGGATTTTTCCCAAATTTCTCAAACTGTTAAAAACACATTTAATATCACCAACCGACAGCATGTACAAGATAAATTCATGCAGTTTACATAGATGGCCTTCGGCCTCACAATCATACCCTAGTACGGGCGATAACAGAGAATAAATAACATAATTCATTTTACAAACGAAACTGGGTTCAACATAAGTAGAAATAGATAAAGATTGCCCTACACAAGCTCGGGCTTCAAGTCACCGATGAATTCAAAACCAAACTTAACAACTCTATCAATCGGATTTGATCCCAATAAGTCCACAAAAATATGGTTTATCTTGCGACTGCACCTTAGTGAGACCCCAAGCTACCTACGTACCCTTACTGAGGGATCAAGCCACATGTAGTTCTTCCATCGGTAGTCACGATTTAGATAATATTTGATCATTTAAAGTAACGCCAACGATTTAATTTAGATTCATTTCAA